GTAAAAATAAAAAAAAAAAAAAAAAAAAAACTATAAAAACTTTATTTCTAAGTTCCTAGAACTTGAAAGTAAATCTTGAAATCCTATGGATGAACATAGTTTTGATTAATAGTAAAAATAGTGATGAAATTGAGAAGATAAAAAATCATGGAAAATTAAATAAATATAAAATGGAAAAAATACCTAAGTGATGAGAGAAGGGAGAAATGTAGAGGGAGTCAAGGGGGAAAAAGAGAAATGAGAAAGTAAAATGAGTGAAGAAAGAGGAATGAGAAAAGAAAATGAAAATGTACATAGAAATAGGAAAAGCCCCTTGAGGAAAGACGGATTATATACTATCATTTTGGTAGTGCTACACTCAATTAAAAGTCGATTATTCTTTGTTTAATAAGATTAGGGGTACTCCTTCCACTACTGTTCTTATCTATATTGACGATATTTTGTTGATCGACAATGATCTCAAAGAAATTCAACATCTCAAGACTTGTTTGCTCGAAAAATTTCTTATCAAACATTTAGGGAATTTGAAATATTTCTTGGGCATTGGATTTTCTCGATTTAGAAAAGGAATTTTTATGTCTCAAACGAAGGATAATTTAGACATTCTTCAAGACACAGGTCTTATATGAGCACGTCAAAAATTTTTTTACTATGAAACAAAATCTTAATGTTTATTTAATAGGAGGAGAGAAGTTGAACCATCCAAGCAAATACAAACAGTTGATTGTAGATTAATATATTTAACTGTTACTAGACCTGTCATAGTATATTCCGTTTGCATGCTTAATCAATTTATGCATTAACCAAGAAAACCGCAGTTGGGAGGCAGCTCTTCGAATTCTGAGATACATTAAACATACACCTAGTCAAGGACTCTGCTACCATCTGAAAACAACTTAACCTTACAGTATATTGTGTTTTTTATTGGGGTGGCTATTGAACTACCAAATAATCTATTTCTAGGTTCAACATTTTCATAAAAAAATCAATTATTTCTTAAAAGTCTAAAATGCAAACCGATGTATCCAAATCATCACCAAAAGTCGAATATTCAGCTATGACAAATACTTGTTTAAAGTTAACATGGCTTATATACATTCTTCAAGACTTGAAAGTTACTCTATTTGAACTAGCATTGTTGTATTGTGATAATCAAGCAGCTTTGCATATAGCAACCAATCTAGCTTTTCATGAGCGTACGAGCACATTGAAATAGATTGCCATATAGTTTGAGAAAAGTTAGAAGCTGGAATGATCAAACCATGTTACGTCTCGACTAAAATGAAATTATGTTTTCACTAAAGATGTTGGCAGACAACAATTTGATTTTATGAAATATAAGTTGAGTGTGCTTGACATATACTCTCCAATTTTATACTAGTGTAATCAATTAGTATCTTTTTCCCTCACTTTTATGAATTAGTTGGTAATATATTTTATATTATTTTCCGGATTTGATTAGTAGTATATTTTGTATATTTTATCTTATTTTTAAAATTTGGTTAGCATATATTTTGTATGTTTTATCTTAGATTTGATTAGTAGTATATTTTGTATTAGTAGTTAGATGCGAGCTTGTCTTGACGTAAACATATTCATCATCCTCACAAAGTTAAAGAGTCGTTAAGGTCAACATGCTAGGTGAAGATAAGAACACTATTGTAAAAGCTTTACAACATCAACGAGAATTTAATTCTTGTTTAGTTGATCTTTAAGATTGAAATGTTAAAATAAGACTCACTCATTTGTGAAGTAATCTCACACTCACTAACGATAGAACGCTCGTGAAAAATACTATTTGCGTATTTGTGAATGAGATGTTGAGAGGAGAGAGACAAATAGACAAATAATACTAAAAAAACCTTTTCTATTCATTTGTACTCTTTGCTCTCTTTTTTGGCTCTGACTTAGTAAAGTGATTAGTATTTATACATTTTCTAATACTAATAATAGGGTGAGAAAAACGCTCATAAACTCCTACCATCATTCCCTAACAAAGCGATAGGCGTTTTCTTTCACTTGTCTTTTACAAGTTAACTTTCCTAACATAGCAAAATTCATTCATGAGCTTAAATGCTATATTCAATTTTCTCTCTTTGCCCTCGAACATCAAACTAAGTTTGTCATTTTTTGACGAGACTTCATTTGGAGCTTCTCGAGAACAGCCCATTTGAGACACCAACTCCTCATTTCTCCCGTTCTCAGCCACGCTCGACTCAAACGTCATAGCTTCTTTCGGTTTACTCAATTCCCTTCGCAAGTTCACAACGACATTTTCCACTTCCATTTTTGCCTCCTCCATTTCGGCTTTATCACAAGTGATTATCTCAATCGTGTGTCGTAAATTCACTACCCCTTGTTGGACCCGATTCAGATTCACGTTGAGTGAGTCTCTCTGTTGAGTTAGTATCTCTATACTTTCACTCCCCTCACTAGCTCTTCCACTAGCCCATCAATCTCCATTAACAAGTCATTCTCTTTCTCCACACCTTCTTCAATTTTCTTCACAAGCTCATAGATTACCTTCAAATTCTCTTCCTTCTCCTATTTGAGATAGGAGGAACTCTCACTCATCTCAGCCACTCCCTTCTCTAATCTTTCAATCTTCATTTCTAAATCTTCCTTTTCTTCCATTTTCTCTTACATTCTCATTCTCTTTCTTCTTTCTTCCTCAAATTGTCTTTCCTACCATTGGAGCTCTCTCTTTTAAGCTCAAGCTCTCTATTATCCAGTTATTCATCCTTCTTCAATTGTCTCGTCTCCACTATCGTGATTTTGCCAAATCCGCTGCGTATCACCTCATTACCAACAGCTTCCACTGCCTCACGATTACCGCCATCGTCTTTCGCGACGCCGTGTTCTTTTGTTTTCAGCTCTTTATTTTGGGCCATCCAGAGAATGCCTTGGTTTGTTGCATCATCCAAAGTTAGGTTGATCATTTTTTTCACCTTTTTCTCGGCTCGACAATCTCTTGCAAAATGCCCCACTTTGCCACAGTTGTAACATTTGTCGGAGTTACAATTATTCGTAGAGTGACCATCTTTTTGACATTTACAGCACTAGATGTTTGATCGGTCGCCTCTTTCTCGACTGCGTCCTCTTCCATGCCAATTTGCTTTGCTCGACTATCTCTTCTCCTTATAATGTCCTTCATTTCTGCTACCTTGACCACCTCGACCATTTCCGCGATTTTCACTATCTCTACCTTGAATATTTTGAGAGTAGAGGACCTTTTTATCTTTTATTGATGCTTTGGTTTGAAGTGCTTGATCGAGTGTCTCCTCCTTCTTCTTCTTACGTTGCTCGTGTGCCTCAAGAGAATCGGCGAGCTCATCGACCGTGAACATCGCTAGGTCTTTTATTGCACATACAATATTCTCGAAGTTGTTGGTTAATGACCTCAAGATCTTCTCCATAACCCGTGTCTCGAGTAACATTTCTTTATTTTGATTTAGTTGTTTTACCACAGTCTGTACGTGCGTAATGTAGTCAGATACATTTTCTGACTTCTTCATCTTCATGCTCTCCAACTTGCCACAAATAGTTTGGAGACACATTTGCTTGACTCGGTCGGTTCCTTTGAACACTTTTTCTAAAGTGTCGCATTCTTCTTTTGAAGTAGTTGCCCTGACAATCTTCTCAAAGCCCGACTCGTCAACAGCTCGGAACAACATGTATAATGCCGCCTTATCTTTTGATCGCAATTCTTTTAATGTCTTGTTTTGTGCTGCCGTATAACCCGTGGTATCCTTTGGTTCTTCGAAACCTTCTTCGACCACCTCCCATGTATCTTGAGAACCGAGAAGAGCTTTCATTTGGATGCTCCAATTCTCATAGTTCGTCTTCGTTAATCGCGGTAGCGGCATTTGACCATCATATTCACCATTGGCTCTGATACCAATTTGTTAAAATCAGACTCACTAATTTGTGAAGTAATCTCACACTCACTAACGATAGAACGCTCCGTTACCGCTTTGTGAAATTACTACTCATGTATTTGTGAATGAGATGTTGAGAGGGAAGAGACAAGAAGACTAAGAATACTGAAAAAACCTTTTCTATTGGTCTGTACTTCCTTTGCTCTCCGTGTTTTTTTTTTTTTTTTTTTGCTTGGTAAGAGAGTTTAGGTATTTATACATTATCTAATACTAATAAGGTGAGAGAAAGGCTCATAAACCCTACCATCATTCCCTAAAATGTGTCTTTTCTTCCATCTACCTCCTTCAAATTAACTTTCTTAACCTAACAAATTTACTAAAGTTAAGATTAAATTTATTTTATTTACTAAAGTTGATTAAATTTATTTTAAACAAAACTAACCTTCAGCAATAAAATACTCCACAATACAAAAGACTTCAGCATTTAAGTTTATTCCAACCTGAAATACTCCACGATACCAAAGACTCCACAATACTTTATTATAGAAAGAAATAAAACACAAACACATAGCATTCACACAGTTAAATGACATGAGCATGCTTTTATTTCCACAGCAGGATTAAACTCAGGAAATACAAACAACAGACACTCTTGAAGGTGGAGTCCTAACCTTAATTATCATAATGTTCAACGCCGCCTTCTTCTAATTGTAGCTCAAAGCTGCAATATTTTGTGAGTTTAGTAGCAACTGGATGTTTTTGGTTACAACGTTGGAACTGACATTGGTTATTTCAACTCGTTGGCCTTGATCGTCTGTAATCAAAACCGGAGCTTTAAAAACTCCTTTATTTGTTTGAGCCAATTGAATTTGTTTGGAGAGAGCAGACCAGCTGTTTTCTAAACTGATAATCGCCGGACTTGGGACATCGTCTTTGGAAATTCTCTTAATCATTTGGGCCTCGATATATTTGTATCTTGAAGCCTCAGCCGTGCACTGAATCACCACGATAAATGCCGCAGCAGCAGCCGTGGAGTCGTAATGAAACAAGGTGGTAATTGCACTGTCCAAAGCTGGGAATCCAAGGGGAATTTTTTCTCTTTTTTTGCCTGCCGCATTTTGAAGCTTTTCGTAATTACCGGAGTATGGAAGTGTAATACGGGTGCTATCTTTGAACACATATTTAGAAGCCAATTGGGCATCAGATTCGTTGAAGAAGTAGGAAGTTGAGTTCACGAGATACCCCATGATGTAAACGTTTGTTACATCTATTGCCACCGTGATGGCTTTCCCGTCATAATTGGAGAGTTTCACTTGTGTGTAGCGACTTGCGCCTGTTGCCGAGCCAAGCAATAGTGATATATTGTATACTTTGTCCTTGGATGGAAGAGCACTCCTTAGAGCTTTGATGAAGTTGCTATAAGATTTGGAATTCGAACCCAACAGGTTGAAGCTCACGTCACCCGCAACACAACTTGAACTTCCATGGAAGATGGCCAGAATTACCAAACAAAACACCGACACAACATTCATCTTTTCGATTCGATTGTTTTGGATGGACATCTCAACCTTCGGTATTTTATTTATAGAGAGTTTGGAATGATCCCACATCGGTTGGAGAGAGAACAAAACATTTCTTATAAAAATGTGAAAACCTCCAATTAGCAGACTCGTTTTAAAATCGTGAGATTGACGATGATATATAACAGATCCAAGAGAACAATATCTACTAGTAGTGAGTTTGATCGGTTACAAATGATATCAAACCCAGAAACACCACGTGGCCAACAAGGATGCGGGCTCCCAAGGAAATTGGATTGTGAGATCTCACATCGTTTGGAGAGGGGAACCAAATATTTTTTATAAGGATATGGAAACCTCTCCCTAGAAAACACGTTCTAAAATCGTGAGGCGGACGACAATTCGTAACAGGCCAAAACAAACCATTCTGCTAACGGTGGGCTTAGTTTGTTACATGCAGCTAGTTTTCCATTAGCTGTGGGATTGAGCTGTTACAAATGGTATCATAGTCAGACACCGGGCGATATACCAGCGAGAAGGTTAAGTCGCAAACGGGGGTGGACACGAGGCGATGTGTCAGCAAGGATGTTAGGCCTCAAAAGAAGTGGATTGGGATGTCCCACATCGAGGCTAAGCCCTAAAAGGGGATGGACACGAAGCGGTGTGCCAACAAAGGCGCTAGGCTCTGAATGAGTGAATTGGTAGGTCCCACATCGTTCAATGTTCATTTTTCTTGCTAGTTTGATCCCAAACAAAATGAAATAAAACGACTTAAATGGCCATTTTGAGACCAAAATCACGGGGCTTATTTTATTTTTAAAATATGGTCTATTTGTTCATGACCTACCCTCTATCAAAATTGTCTAGCTTGATTCTGACTGACACATGGAGACACTCACCATCCAGCTCATATTGTTGATGAGTAGTTTTCAAAAATCATGGACCATTGTACATAATCAAGCAATACAACTAAGGTCCACCCTTATACGAATACCTGTAACCAAAGTTAAAACATGCTTTATGATACATCACACCGTAGAATAGAATCACATGTGTGCATATGTACCTAAGATTAACAAAAAAGAAAAAAAAAATCTCCTTTTAACTAGAGCTACTTGCCAAACACTAACCAAAACATCGTAAACATAGATATATAAGTTTGAGTGTCATATAAAGGGAACGTAATACAAAATTAGACTGATACAAAACTAACATACAAAACCAGTAAAGCTTATTGATCCTAGGTTGGTTCTCTATGGTACCTACTTTAGATTCGCTCTTATACTTGACCAACATCTAGTTATTACCTGAAAAAATATATAAGAAGTAGAGTGAGTACAAAATTAAGTGAGTAGTCTACTTGTAGGCTGTTGATTGTGTCCATAACTCAGGATAGATTACCAAACTCTAAAACTTGGACAAAAGGCATAACATGAGTTTTGATTTAAGAACCTTGGTCCTATGTTATGAGGTTATAAAACATGGTCAGTTTGATGCCTAGTCTTGACTAATGCACGGTGTGATTCCTCATCTTTGGATATGTTCAAGGAGAGTAGATCCTATCGAGTTGTTAACAACTAATCTACACACTCAACTCCACTTGGAAAATCTACAAAGTCACATAATTGGTAAATGTAACAACCAAGAAAACTACAATAATAATAACATACGTTTAGAAACCATTAGAATATTCTTACCGTTTCTGACATTATGTAAACCTATCCGTGAACGAAGAATCGCCATAAAAATAAGACATGTTCAATAATTCTTATTTTGGATTTTAAAAAGTCATCAATTTTATTTTGTTTGCTTCGATTTGGGTTCGAAAAATAAATAATAATTGGTTTTTGTGTTCTACACAATTTACGTCACAAATGAAGTTAGGCTCATATCCAAGTCTTAGGTTCAAAAACCAAAGCAAGGTCGTTTTTAAGCTGTTAAAATATTTTAAGCTAAGTTTGATAATCAATTGATGGTCGTTAGGTGAAATAAGTCAATGAATATGTCCTCACTATCTATCCTCGAATCCCTTAGGCTAGCTTTAAGGAAAGTATAGTGACTCCGATCTAGATAAACAAGTTTAGTGACCTCAAATAAGTATAGTGACTTTATTGTTTACTTAGTTGGACGACTTGTACAATGTATGATGTTGCGTGTCTTGTGGCCTCTTCACATGTCATGATTATGTCCGTTAGCATGTGCTATGTGATGTTATGCTATATTATGCTATGACATGTTATAAATTATGCTTAGTTATGTTATACCATGGTATATGTTATGCTATGATATGATTATTTCCTGTCGTGGAACTATGCTATAATATCAATGATATACGATGCATAAACCTTCCTATACCATATCATGTAAACTATGTTAACATGTTCACTTCATTCCTATGAGACATGAGGAAGTCATGTATGTTAATGATGAAAGATATGTCAAGAATTATGTTTGTATTTTTCATAGGTTTGTTATGTCACGAATGAATTGAGGTATGACTTGCATCATAAGCTTATGCAATGATATGGGGAGCTCATGCATTTATGTATGTCGTGTGCATCATGATACTTTTTCGTTATAATTAGTATGGTCACGTACCTTATGATATCTATATTCACCTCATCACTAGCGATAGTTTACGTTGGCACCTGCCACACTTTATATCTATCTATCTATCTATAATCTATTTAGCGATATATCTATATATTTATGTGTGCGTGTGTATATATATATATATATATTTATATTTGTTTTCCTATATTGCTTTTAACCACGAGGTATTACAAATCATTCCCCCATTTAAGAACTTTCGTCTTCAAAAGTTCCTAGTTCCTGAAACAATTTTAGGTATCGTACCCTCACTTCGCCCTCTCACTTCCAAGTCGCTCCTTTGGTACGATGGTTACCCCAGTGCACTTTCACCAGACTGATTTCTCAGTCTATCATAGGGTCTTCACACATCTTGCTAGGATTCTTGTGGGGGCACTCCTCGTAGCTCAAGTCATCTTGCAGAGGTAGTAGCTCAAAGTCAATCACGTGTGATGGATCAATGGTGTACTTTTTGAGCATGGACACATGGAGCATATTATGAACCGCTGCGACTGCCAATGGTAGAGCTAGCCTATACACCATGGGTCCTATACGCTCCAAGATCTTAAATTGGCCAAGGGGCTTAACTTCCCCCTCTTCTCATAATCTTATCCTTAGTTTATACCCTAAGCATGCCCTAATAACCTTGAAACCATTCCTAAATCATTTATAACCTTATAAATAGGCCAAATATAAAGTTTTAACCCATTTATGGTCCCTTTAAACCATTAAACTTTGATATAGAATATAGTAACAGACATTAGGGTTATTTTATCTTTTACCTTGGTTTATGCTCTAAATATCCTCTTGTGACCTTTAAATTCAACGTGTATCCTTTTTCTATGATATTAGGTTATAGTTTAAAATTTCATGTACAATGAATGTCATTAAGTAGGACAATTTTATAGATTACTCGGTTTTATGGCTATTATTCCCAATTTTAGGTCCTTAAAATGTTGTTCATGACCTCATCTTTTCATGTATGAGTAATATTATTTTTTTTTATGTCAATATCAAGTGATCCATATTAGTATCATTTGAGAAAAGTTTGAGATGGCTACTTATGTATTCAAGCGCGTCATCAAGACAGTGTCAATTTTGACCGCCAATTATCTTGGGTAGGTCTCTGTGTTAGCGTTCAAGAACCATGAGTATTTCTATAAGAATTAATGAGTAAGGAGGTTGATTTTGAGAAAAAACTGAAGTTTGGTCCAGTGAGTCATGTCATCGTCTTCTTTCTTAAGATAGAAGAGGATGCAACCGAAGTTTACCTCAACTACCTGAAACTTGTCTCCTTCGGGATCTATTTCAAAAAACTTCATTACACTCCAAGGATCTCAATGGAAGTCGGGAATGAATTGAGGTGTAGCGCCCATCAGACTTACGGGTTATTTTTCCAATTTTTGAGCTTTGAGGACCATTTCCTACCAAGCCCTTTTTCAAATATTCTAATATTTTCTTACAAAAATTCTTCCCCTTAATTTGGACACTTTTTCTCTCTTGGATACCATAAAATTCATTTCCCATAATTAATAAAAAAATATAATAAGTTTGTTAAAAATTAAAAAAACTACAAATTTTCTCCTTTTCTAATCCTCAACCTATTTTGGGGGCGTTACAACCAATATGTGTCCCGACACTGTTTCCTCCAATGATCACCTTCTCATTCAAGCCTCGGTTATGCACACCATTCATGTCGGTGTCATCCATAGCGGCATGAGTCCCCAAGCGATGGTGTTACAACTGCTATCAATTAGAGGATAAACAAAAGAGAATAACCCAAAAAACCCATGTTAGATTCAACTTCATATGCCCTAAATCCAAACCAAGAATGAGTATGAGTATGATCTTCAGAGAAGTTATGTCAATGTAATGCGCCGAAACCTAAAATTTGAAGTAGGCGAGAAAGTATTCCGGAAGGTAGCGGATGAAGGATGAGGTTTGGGCATAGAGGTAAGTTATATACATGTTTCATTGGGTCTCTTAAAATTTTAAATCGAATTGAACCGATGACATATTAATTAGCTCTACCTCCATCCCTTCTTGCATTGTATAATATTCCACGTATCTATACTCCACAACTATATGACCAGCCATATTCACTTGATAGATAGACTATGAGCCTTTGTAATTACACTAGAACGTGAATTATAATGAAAAAACCATACAATTTTGAGTCCAAAGAATAAAAACTTTGAGCACTAGAGCGATAATATTTGTTGAGATATTTTAACAAACCATCCATTAGAGAATGCAACATAAAAACAAGAGAAAACAATGATGGAAAAGCACCTAGAGGTTCTCTTCCATTCTCTTCGATTTTTTATCTCGAACATTTTTCCTCGACCAATTTGAGGTTTGGAGTACGTTTATTTGGATAATTTTTTTTTTTATCAAAGATAGGAGATTGCTAGTGAGATTTTTTCGGATTTCTCACCAGTAAACGATGCATGAA